ACTTGATTGTTTCCACCTTTTGGCTGTTGTGGATAGGGCTGCAACAAACATTGATGTATCAGTAGTTTGGAGAGATAAGGCCCCTTTCTCTCCCCAGAGTGGTGCCAATTTGCACTCTTCCCACCCCTCAGCACAGCAGCCCCATCTCCTGGCAGCCTGGTTATTCAATGTATCTTCCAAGGCTTTCATTTTGTCAGCATCATAAGTGAAAACTAGTTAGTAAATTAGTCGTAATTTCCATTTCTCTTTTTGGAGTGAGATTGGATGTTTCTCAGCTTATGACCTGTCTGTTCACACCTTTACTCACTTGGTTTTTGTTGGTCTTTTTTGTTCCCTTTTCTTTTTTGAGTGAGAGAGATGTTCACTGACTAGTGAGCATGTTCACACTTGTTAGGGAGGAGGAAACAGCCCAGAGAAGGCGGGGAGTTGTCCAGACTCACAAAACCAGAGTGTCCGTGTCACAGCTGTTCCCAGCCCAGTCAGACTCTCTATCCAGGACAGCACACTGTCCTTTACTCTTTCTGATTCCATGATTCAAGGTCCTGAGTCAGGAGAGAGGAGAATTTACTTGATCCAGCTCTGTTTTTCACTTTAAGGCCCTGGAGTATGAGAAGGGGCCAACTCTCAGGAAATGAAGATGCTGATTCCACAGGAATAGGATGGGATGCTGGGAAACCTCCACCAGAATCAATCCCTTCTTGGCCTGACACCAAGGCCTCCCCAACTTCCTGTTGGTGTAGCTGACCTTGTACCATCTGACCTGTGGCCACACCTGCTGCATTTCCCTGACATCTTCATGCATGATATGGCGCCTGCACTTGCAAGGCCCCCTCCCTTCATGTCCACTGGGAGTTATTGCTGTTGTTAGTTACTGTTGTGTCAGCTTTAACTCATGTGACCTTCCGTGTGACAGAACAAAGCACTGGCCTGCCGTATCCCCATGACTGTGGTCCACTGTTGTGGCTGCTGTGTCAGCTCATCGCATTGAAGCTTCCCTCCTTTTCACTGATCTGCTTTCCCAACCACCTCATACTCTAGAGATGTTTCTTCATGATGTGCCCAAAGTAAATCAAAGTGTCACCATCCTTCTTCCTAAGAAACATTCTAGTTGTGTTATTTCTAAGACTGATTTGCTTGTTTTTCATGATGCCTGTAGGATATTCAGTATTTTTTGCCAACACCACAGTTTGAACACAGCAGTTTTCCTTTTTCATTTTCCATCTTTTACACACACGAGGCGGTTGACAAGACTATGGCTTGGGACAGAGGCACCTTCGTCATCAAATGTTTACTTTTTTAGGAAAAACGTTAGTGAGGTCTTTTGCTTTAGATTTGCCTACGGCAGTATGTCATTTGGTTTCTTGACTCCACTTACATAGTGCAGCGAACATGAAAAAGACTTTGTTTAGGGCACCTAGCAACAACAATTAAATAATGCAGATATAAACCAATTACAGAATAAATTCTTGCCAAACAATCTCTATTTGTGGGCAATCATAAAATTCACATCGGTTGTTGTTGATTGCCTTTGAGTCGAGCATGACTCATAGCGACCCTATGAGCAAAAGATCTGAAGCCCCTTTACAACTATCAACATTTATCAAAGTTCATAGTGTTTCTGGAGACATGTTGTTTAGGATGTGGATGCCAATCTGTTATTGCAATGTTACAAAAAAGAAAAGAGAAATATTTTGTTGATAAAGGGCAAGAAACAAAACATTTGAAGAAGTCATTTTGTACTTTCTCTTTCTTAGTTTTAATTTTTATCAATTGCTTTTGGGAGTGAAAGAGCTCTAAGAGTTCACATCTTTCTGAGACAATGAATTAGAGTTCCCTATTTCTTGATGGGCAGCTTGCAGTGGGAAAGGGCCAAAAGTCCAGGACCAGGCAAGGTTGTCCAGGGGTCTGAATTACCAAGAAGGGAGAAGGGCATAGAGTCTATAGCCCTTCCCACTCTGATTGGACCAAAAAACTCTTCTGCTGTAGGATGTCTTACAGGGCCAGGGTTCCACGGAGCACGCTCGGGGCAAGGTTGAAATGGCAGCTACTAACATGTCAACATATGGGACAAAGGACTCTGGTTTACCTATAGAGTCTCTGGATGATGGTCAAGCCACAGGCCTGCTTTTGTCCCCTGATTTTGAAGGAAACTATCATCGTGGACCCTTTAAACAGATAGGTGGCTTAGCGATTGAAGGAATGCATTCTGGAATCCAAAAGACCTATGTTCAAACGGTGGTCTTGTCGCTGGCTCTCAGTATAACATTAGATAAGCTCCTTAACCTCTAGCCTCAATTCCATCTCCATTGTATAGTAGCACAATGATAACAACCACCTTACAGTTGTAAGAATAATTAAAGAATGCATCTAACTTGCTTATTATACCAGTGCCTGCTATGTTATTGTTAGGAACTGTTAAATCAGGTATGACTCATAGTGACCCTAGTAACAACAGGTCTGAGCCCTGTCTTATCCTGTGCCACCCTCATCACCTCTGATATACTTGATCCCATTGCTGCAGTCATTGGGTCAATCTATCCCCATTGTGGCAAGCCTATTCTATCTTTCGTTAAGTCTCCACATTTACAAGTATGATGTCCTTGCAAAATCCAAGGACTGGTCCCTCCTAGCAACATCTAAAGTGTGTGGGATGAAGTTTTTGCCATCTCTGCCTTGAAGGAGCACCCTGGTTGCACTTTCTCCAAAACATACCTGTGTGTTCTCTCGGCAGTAAATGGGATATTCAATAAACTCTTCTCCAATACCACAACTCAGATGCAACTAAAGGAAATTATAATTTCTGCTTTTATGTGAGTTTGAAAAGAAAATAAAGCACTTTTCTGGAAAAAAAATCAAGCATCAACATCAACTCAGCTGTCATCTTTATTCGTTGTCTAACTTTCAGGTGCAGAGCAAGTAATTGAAAGACCATTATTTTAATCAGGTGCACCTTAGGCTTTAAAACGAACACTTCAGAACCTTGGAGAGGTCCTTCACTGCAGATTTCCCCAATGCAACATATCTTCTAATTTACTGAGTGCTGGGTGTTAATTGTGGATCCGAGCAAGATGAAATAGCTGAAAACTTCCATCTTTTCTCCATATATCATGATGTTACCTGATGAGAAGTTTTGTCTTCTTGATATTGAGATGTAATTTATATTGAAAGCTGCAGTCCTTAATCTTCTGCAGCAAATGTTTCAAGTGCTCTTCACTTTCAGCAAGCAAAGTTTGTGTCATCTGCATAATGCAGGTTGCTGGTAAGTTTTCCTTCTATCCTGATGTCACATTCTTCTTCACAAAGTCCAGCTTCTCCAGTGATTTGCTCAGCAAACAGACAGAGTATAAGTATGGAGAAATGACAAGCCTTGATGCACTTCTTTCCTGCGTTTAAATCATGCAGTGTTCTCTTGCTCTGTTGGCACAGCAGAGGTTGGTCTCAGTAGAGGTTTCTCATGAGCACAATTAAGTATTCTGGGACACCCATTCCTCTCAATGTTAGCCATAACTGTTTATGGTCCACACCATAAAATGCCTTTGCACAGCCAATAAAGCACAGATAGACATCCTCTGGTATCCTTTGTTTTCAGCCAAGATCTATCTAACATCAGCAATGATATCCTTGGTGCCACAACCACCTCTAAATCCAGTTTGAACTTCTAGAAGTTCTCTATCTGTTCTAACAATTTAAAAAACATTTTTTAAATTATTATTAATTTTAATTAAAGTATACAGAGACTGAAGATTTCCATCCATTCACTGTTGAACTTTTCTCCCTGCCTATCCCTCCCTCCCCCAGTTCGCTCTTCTCTTTGAAAAGGAAAAGAAAAATTCTTTCATTGTTATACAATCCCTCCCAGCAAGTGCACTCCATTATGCAGCCTTCATTTCTAACAATTATTAAATAATTTTCAACAAAATTCAATAATTTCCACATTCTGTTGGATCACTTTTCTTGGGAACAAATATGGATCTCTTCCAGTTAGTTGGTCAAGTACCTGTCTTCCAAATTTCTTGGCACAGCCTGGTGAGTATGTCTAAGGCTATATTTGTTAGTTGAAACATGTCAATTGGTATTCCACCAATTCCTGGCGCCTTTTTTGCTAATGCCTTCAGGACAATGTGAACCTCTTCCTTCATTACTTTTGGGTTTTGTTCATATGGTACTTCCCTGAAATTTTTCAGTGTTGTCCACCTCATTTTGGTATAATGACTGTGAATTTCTTCCATCTTCTTTTGACGCTTCCTGGATCATTCAAGATTTTTGCCCATTGTTGTTGTTATGTGCTGTTGAGTTGCCTGAAACTCATCGCGACCCTGCATACAACAGCTCTGAAGCCTGCCCTGTCCTGAGCCAGGCTCACTGACACCGACACATCTACCCCCATTGCCCCTGTTACAATATCAATCTATCTCATCTGGCGTCGTCCTCTCCTACGCTGTCCCTCCACTCTTTTGCCCATAGCATCTTTCAGTATTACAACTCTAGGCTTGAATTTATTTTCCAGTTATGTCAGCTTGAGAAATGCTGAGCAAGCTCTTTTTTATATATTCTGCCTGGTATGTTGTTGTTGCTATGTACTGTCAAGTCAGAACCAACTCATAGCTGACCCTCCAGTGACTTTTCAGAGGCAGCGAATGGCAAGGGAGGAAATTGGCCTTCTTTCTTCTGCAGAGCTGGTGGATTTGAACTGTAAGCCTTTCTTTGAGTGGGCAATTCCTTACCACTAAGCCGGAGCTCCCTGCCTAGTATATAGTGGGTGCCGAATGCTGGAGTCAAGTTCATGTTTAGTCTAAGGCTGGGGTTCTGGACAGGGCTGGGGTACCTGCTCAGCACCACCTCATCCTGGGACAGGTAGAAAATGACTCTGTGTGAAGAGCTTGTGTGACCCAGGAAGGGGTCTTGAGGGAAGTGTGCTGAGGGTAGACCAAGAAAGATGAGGGAAGAAGACATGGGTCAAGGCACTCTTTCCTGAAATCTTCTCCCCTAGGTTCCTACAGATGGCGTGGCCATGGCTGTCCTGCATCCTGCTTCCGGCCCTCGTGATGTCTGGTAGGTGCCTCCTCTTCCCTACAGAGCAGGGCTGAATTCTGAGGGAGCAGGGCTGAATTCTGAGGGAGCAGGACCTTGCCCAACAAACAGGCAGCTCCGACGGTCCAGCCTTGTGCTTGGCTACCTCAGGATGCCCAGGAAGTGACCCAGGTCCAGATGGGGAGCTGGGGTAGAGACCTGACACTCCTCAAAGACATATGGGCATTAGACCTTGGGGGGGGGTGTCCAGATTCCAGTGTCCTCTCTCTTTGTAGTGACAGCCAACATGCCCCCGACTTTTCCGAAGAACTTTACAACAGTGACCCTGCCTGAGGACCTGGAACTGGGTGAGTAACTGTCCAGTGTCCTGTGTCCAAACTCACGTTTGCAAAAGTGTCCTGGGGGCTCACAGGTGACAGCTTTCCCCTACCAGGCTCATGACAGGCCCAAACCAGCAAGTCAGTTGTTTTGAAGTCAGTTCTAACCCCGCATGTCAGCAGAGCTTCACTTCACAGGATTCTCAGAGGCTCACTGGTGGGAAGCAGAACACCAGGCCCTTAGCGCATGCCTCTGAGAGGATTAGAACCTTCAGCCAAGTGCGTGTGAACCATTTTTGCCAACCAGGGGCTCAGGCAGAAGGTTTGGGGGAGGAGCCGAAGGAGAACGCCTCCCATTTCAGAAGTTTATGTCCTCCTCCTTGGTCCTCACATCTCTGGAAGTGTAGAGGTTAGGATTTATGATGTCTATTTGGGGATTTTTTTGAGAGCTTTTAAAAATTATTATTAATGTATATTGTATTTTATACAACCATTCATATATATCTATTTTTTATAGACTTATTTACTATGGATCTATGCCTTTTATCACTCCATCTCATTGAGTCTCCACTGCACCTTGCCTATTCCTTCTACTTTTATTGACACAGTGGAGTTCCTACCATTCTTGCCTTTGGCAGCCTCCCTGAAAAATTCATGCTCTTCTCATGCACAAAACCAACAGCACTCTCACATTATTGCATTATCATATCATCACCCTGTCAAACCACCCCAAACGTCTCAGATCAACCGCAAGACAAAAAGCCCATCGCCTGAATCATATAAATCAAGTGCTGTTGCAGTTGTTATGTGCCCTCGAGTTGCCTGCAACTCATAGCAACCCTATGTACAGCAGCTCTGAAGTCTCCCCTATTTTGAACAAGTCTCACTGACTCTGACACACCTACCCCCATTGCCCCAGTCATTGTATCAATCCATCTCATCCGGGATCTTCTTCTCCTGCACTGTTCCTCCACCCTTCCAAATATGATGTCCTTCTCCAAGGACTGATCCCTTCTGGCCATGTGCCCAAAGTATGTGAGGTGGACCTTCAAAATCCTAGCCTTCAAGGAGAAACCTGGTTTCATCCTCTCTAAGACAAACCTATCTATTCTCCTGACAGTCCATGGTATGTTCTCGACTCTTCTCCAGCACTACAACTCAAAGGCATCAATTCTTCCATCATCCTTAGTCATTGTCCAGCTCTCTGATGAATAGCAAGTAATTGTGAAGACCATGGCTTGAATCAGGCACATCTTAGTCTCTAGACTGACATTTTTGCTTTTCAGTACTCTGGAGAGGTCCATGACAGCAGATATTCCCAGTGCAATTGTTCTTTTGATTTCCTGACTGCTGGTCCCAAGAGTGTTGATTGTGGAGCTGAGCAAACAAATTATTAACAACCGCAATCTCTTCTCCATCTATCATGGTGCTGACAATTGGCCCAATTGTGGGAATCTTTGTCTTTTTGTTGTTCAGATTCAATCCATATTGAAGACTACAGTCCTTACTTTCTGTGGCAAGAGCTTCAGGCCCTCCTCAGTTTCAGCAAGCAAAGTTGGGATGAGATTGTATTGAAGATGCTCCATCAGAGGGACCTGTGAAATCGAGAGCACAACTTATTTGCTTCCAAAGCACGATACTGAAACAAATACAGGGTAGACATTTCCATCTCAAATGGGTGACCTTGGAGGAAAAGAAGGGCTCTCAGTCGGCCTGGATTCACTGGGCAATGGCATCACCCTCAAAATACAAGTTCTGATTTTGTTTGCACATAATTTTTAAATTAATTTTTAATTAATTTTTAAATTAATATCTTAAAAATCTATTAAAGATGTTGACCTTGAGCTCCAGATTATTGGTGGAAGCCCCATGACCCTATGAGTCAGCCCACCTTCCAGAACCACTTCAAGCAACTCTGTTCCCTCAGCTTTTGGTGGCCCCATTCTCCTTGTCCCTCAGCATGGTGACCCCACTCTCTCAACCACAGTGGCCTCTGTCCTCCTGGCCCTTGTGCATGACAGGCTTCTCACTTCAGCTTTGGGCAAAGACCTCATTTTCCTGGATTTTGAATAAGGTAATCCTATTCCTTTAGCACTGGGCAGTGACCTCTTGGCCAACTCAAACAGCAGCATCGCATTCGGGAGCTGACTTGGTAAAAATCTGGTTCTTTGAAAACTTGTTGTCGTCCTTTGATGCCAATGATCGACTGTGACTCACAGTGACCCTACAAACAACAGATCTGAACCTTACCCTGTTCTGCTTCGTCCGCACCATCTCTGTTAGACTCAAGCCCATTCTTACCATCACTATGTCAATTTATCATGTTGCGAGTCTTCTCTTTCTCTGATCCTCTACCTTTGTCAGTATAGTGTGGCCTTTTCCAAGGACTTACCAGCTCTCCTGACAACATGCCCAAAGTATGTGAGATAAAGTTTAACTCTCCTTGCCTTTAAGGACACTGAAAGAAGGAGGATTATAACAAAAGGTGCAAAAGAGCCAGAGTTAGAAAACCAAAAGGGAAGAGCATGCGTGACCTTTCTCAAGGTCAAAGAACTGAAGAGCAAACTAGAGCCCCCATTTGCAAGGAAGATTCTATGGACAAAACTGTGAATGGTGTGAGGAACATAAAAAGGAGATGGAGGCTGACACGGAACCATTTCAGGAAGCAGCATATGGTCAAGAACCCTATGGTAATGAAGGAAGAAGTTCAAGCAGCACTGAGGATACTGGCAAAAAATAAGACACAGGGACTGTTGGGAGGCGAATTGACATGTTTCAACAAACAGATGCAGCCCTGAATGTGCTCACCAGCTGTGCCAAGAAACCTAGAAGAGAGCTTCCTGGCCAACAGAGCTGAAGAGATCCATTTTTATTCCCATTCTTAAATAAGGTGATCCAACCTCATGGAGAATGTGAAGTCATACAACAATATCAATACCACAGGCTAGTAAAATCTTACTGAAGATTATTCAGTAAGGGTGGGAACATCAGCAGAGAACTGCCAAAAATTCAAGCTACATTCAGAGGAGACTATGGAACAAAGGATATCATTGCTGATATCAGATGGATCTTGGCTGAAAGTAAAGAATATCAGAAAGATATTTGTTGTTAGGTGCTGTCAAGTCATTTAAGACCCATAGCAACTCTGTGAACAATAGATGTGAACTCCATTCTAATCTGTGCCATCCTCACACTTCCTGACACACCAGAACTCATTGCAGCAGTCACTGTGTCAATCCACCTGGCTGAGGGTCATCTTCTTCTTCTCTCTCTCCTTTCTGAGCATTATGTCCCTCTCCAAGGAATAACTTCCTAGTAACATGCCTGAAGAACGTGAGGTGAAGCTTTATCATCTTTGCCTCCAAGGAGCACTCCGGCTGCACTTTCTCCAAGACGTATTTGTTTGTTATTTTGGCAGTCTGTGGGATGTTCAGTACTTTTCTCCAATACCATAGCTCAAAAACATAAATTCTTATTTTGTTATCTTTATTAATTGTCCAGCTCTCAGATACAAAGCAAGTGATCAGAAAGATCATGACCTGAATAAGATGTACGTTAGTCCTTAAACTGACATCATTACTTTTCAATCATTTGAAGAGATCCCTGACTATAGACTATCCTAGTGCAATATGTCTCCTGATTTCCTGACTGCTGGTACCAGGGGTGTTGATTGTAATATCGACAGTTTCAATATTTTCTTATCATGCCTATCTGTCCAGTGGTAAGAATTTTGTTTTCTTCATGTTGAGATGCAACATATATTCAAGGCTGTATTCTTTGATCGTCTGCAACAAGTGTTTCAAGTTTTCCTTACTTTAAGCAAGCAAGGTTGTGTCATCTGCATAATGTAGGTTATCGATGAATCTTCCTCCAATCTTGATGCCACATCCTTCTTCATAGAGTCCAGCTTCTTGAGTTATTTGCTCAACAGATTAAGTAGGTATGGAGAGATAATACAACCCTGACATACTCCTTTCTTAATCTTAAACTATGTACTGTTCCCTTGCTCTGTTTGCACGCCAGTCTTTTAATCTAGATGTAGGTTTCACATGAGCACAACTAAGGTTCTGGGATTCTCATTCTTCTAAATGCCAGCCACAAATTATTATGATCCACATAGTCAAATGCCTTTGCATAATTAATAAAGCACAAATAGACATTCTTCTGGTAGTCCTTACTTTCAGCCAGGATCCATCTGACATTACAGCCTCTTCTAAATTCTGCTTGAACTTCTGGAAGTTCCCCTATCCAACAGAGAACTTTTTTGAATGATCTTCAGCAGTATTTTTAAATTTTATTGATTTTCATGAACATTTACAGAGATTTTGGATTTCCATTCTTTCATTGTTGCACTATTTCAGCAGTATTTTGTTTGCATGTGATATTAATGAAATTGTTTGATGATTTCCATATTCTGATGGATCACCTTTCTTGAGAATGGGAACAAATATGGACCTCTTCCAATCCATTGGCCACACAGCTATTCTCCAATTTTCCTGGCATAGACTGGTGAGCACAGGACTGCATCTGTTAATTGAAACAAATCAATTGGTGTCCCATCGCTTCCTGGCACATTATTTTTTTTTGCCAGTGCCTTCAATGCAGCTTCAAATTCCTCCTTCGTTATCATTGACTCCTGCTCATAGGGTACTTGCTGAAATTTTTCAGTGTCAATCAATTCTTTCTTTTACAGTGATTCTAAGTATTCCCTCCATCTTCTTTTTGATGATTCCTGGATCATTCATTACACTGTCCATAGCATCTTTTTATAAATTTTTTAAAAATTGTTTTATTATTTTCTCTGTTTGTGTACCGTCAAATTGGATCTGACTGGTACAGGAGGAGATGGCCCCTCCTTCTCTAGCAGAGCATCTGGTGGATTCGAACCACATTTCTCTGGGATTGCAGTGCAGCTTGCCCATAGCATCTTTTTTTTTTGCCCATAGCATCTTTGAAGTCAGAGAAAAGGAAAACAAATTCATGAGAACCAAACTATGATCTTGCATCTGTTCCATTTGAATTTAAAAATAATCTCAAGAATAGGTTTTGAAGCATTGAACACCAATGATTAAAGACCAGATGAATTGTGGGATGAAATCATGCATATCATCTATGAAGAAAGCAAAAGGTTATTAAAAAGACAGAAGGGGGGATCCCTCTGAAATGGATGTCAGAAGAAACTTGAAAATTGCACTAGCTT